CATCCCCCTTCTGCAACACTTTCATGAACAATCGATTCTCAGGGTTTGATGTGACAAAACCAACCTGCAGTGTACCTTCAATGACAGTCAAGATTTCAGTGGCTCGAGGATGAGTATGTGGAGGATTAATGCCCCAAGGTGCATAGTCCACTCGAGCCAAAGATATTCCTAGAGTGTTAAGCCCTGGGATTTGGGCAACAGCTACAGGAGTCACTCTTGACCCAACTGCATTTGATGTGTTGCCAACCAAGTGAAGCCCGCTAAAGAAGAAATCATTTTTTTGTACAAGTTTTGGATCCTTGCAAACAAAGCCATTCACCATAACTGCAAACGACAAAACTAAAAAGGTTCAGAGACAAAACATGAAACAGAAAAAAGTAACCAAAAAAAAAACACAAAAGGAAAAAAGTGACAGTTAACATTATTTTCTAGTACCTAATTAGAGCTAGTTTTCAGGAAATAATCATACCTGGACTTGTTGTATCTGCAACACACAAGTCTTGAAGAGGGCTGGGGTCAGATCCGAATGCAATGGAACAACATAATAACAAGATGCACAGTATACGAAAAGATGATGATGATGATGCCATTTTATTGGATGATTGCTGATTTATCAAGGTGAATGCTGAAAGATAAGAAGTTTAGCTGTCAATAATCACTTTGGTGAGCAGATTTTTGAGTTGCAAAATGAATGCAAACACAGCTGGTTTTATAGATTGAAGGGGTTGAGAAAGTCATTCCCGTGCCGTCTCGGCTCCTGTTGTCTCAGTCCGGTCATCATATGTTGAAGCAAAACGTGTTGAATTAGAGAAGGAGATGCGCCGGCATGTGGAGGTGTTGAAGCAAATTACGTGCTTGCCGAGAAAGTGAAAGTGCTACTGTGCCTTGTAAGATTCTTTCCTCACCACAATTAATTGGTAAGTTTTGTTTTACAACCGAGAGGAAAAAAAAAAAAAAAAAGACTACAGATCGGTTTACAAGCAATAAGAAAGCCTAATATTGTCACAATTTTAAAAAATTTTATTTCTATTTAACAATACAATTCTTGCACCAAGGCATGACATTATTGTTATTTAAAGGAAAATGTTTAGACTTTAGATAGTTAAGTTATTTCAAATAATAATATTTTGGTATATTATAAACATATTTTTCAACTTACGTTTTTATGTTCTCAATCACCTTTTTATCTCATATACATCACAGTAAAAAAAATATTATAGTAATTATTCCAAATAATATTTAAAGTTGAAAGATCCTAATATGAAATTTAAAGGGTGATCTACTACTAAAAGCATTCTAAAATGCAGCCGCTTTAATATTTTGTTTACTTGTTTACGTTATTGACCAATAATAAATCTAAGTACACGAGTCCAAAACCCATATTTATCAGATCTTGGTCGATATGGTGCCCATATTTGTCCGAAAATTGAAGGTTTTGGCTGCATATTTGACTGAGTAGTGACAATTATTTTATTTCGACTACTGTTCTTACCTTGTCAACTATGCAAGAGACTTCTTTTACTTAGTCAAAATGGATAATCTGGCTTATGCATTTGATTTGGTTTTAATAATCATTTTCTTCTTTTTTCAATTTTGGATATCAACTTCATCATTAATTGACCTTATTTTTGCCTATTCACCTGTCCCTTTAACAGATTAAATGAATCAATTGTCTTGTCCAGTTCAACACAATTAATTAGCAATTGAAAGCTGCTAACAAAAACTGGCTAAGCCACACGCCAGGTTTAATGACAAAAGGAGTAAAACAACAATTTAGTCCCTAAACTATTTTGCTAATTTCAAAATAGTTTCTAAACTTTATTATGAGCCAGTTTAGCCCTTCAGCTATTTTAACAAAGTCGATATAGGCACTAAACTTTATTATTATAAGTCAGTTTAGTTCCTCTTATTACCTGCACCATAGATTTTTTTAGACCATCCTAAGTTTTTACTTCTGCTTATTGTTTGCACGTCACCGGTCCCTTGTCAAGTTCGCTTTACCCTTTTTGTAACTCTCGTCTAATTGAGATCATCACAAGAGAAATTAGGTGAAGGAAACCAAGGTACATTTTTAAGGCGTAGTTAATGATTTCATTAGCGAGTTGATCATTTCAGAAAATTTAAGTAAATCAATATCTTTACCCAAAATCACTGACCTGTCTAAGACGTACACAAACATATTGCACCATAAAATTTTTCATCTCCATAGCAACTGATACAATTTTATTGCCCTTATAACATATATTGCCTCTTATCGTAAATATTTTCTCGGGATAATTTCACAAACCTCCCCTGAGGTTTCTGACACTTGCACTGAGACCCCTCTAGGTTTTAAAATTTTCACCTAGCTCCCTTGCTTTTCAAATTTGGTAACAATTCAGTCCAATTAGAATTAAAATATTACTATCATGATAGAGATGACATTTATATTTCATGAATACCCTCTTCCTCCCTATATTAGTACAAGATTGCTTGTTAATAAAAACCTATTAGTTTCCCTTTCGTAATAATATTAGTGTAACACTTTTTGAATTTCACTTATAAACATTTATGTATTTAATATAAATTAAATGATTCAAAGTAAAATACTCATAAATAGCTAGTACTTTATTCATATAATGGAAGAAACTCGTAAAGAACTGGTATGTTATGGACAATTTTTTTTCTACTTCCAAATATTTCATTTATATTAAATACAAAACATACTAGTTTTCCTTTCGTAAAAATATTTGTGTAACAGCTTTTGAATTTTATTTGCAAATATTTATGTATTTAACATAAATTAAATGATTCAGAATAAAATGTCCATAAAAATTTGGTACTTGGTTCATATAATAGACAAAGGCCATAAAGAGTTGGTACTTTATGGGATATTTCTTTTTGCTCATAAATAACTATTACTTTGTTCGTGTAATAGAGGAAACCCATAAAGAGCTGATATGTTATGGGCAATTTCTTTTCTTTTTTTACTTTTACGTATTTAATTTATGTTAAATACAAAACCTACTAGTTTTCCTTTCGTAAAAATATTAGTATATCACTTTTTAAATTTTACTTACAAACATTTATGTATTTAACATAAATTATATGATTCAGAGTAAAATGCCTATAAATAGCTAATATTTTATTCATATAATAGAAGAAACCCGTAAAGAACTGGTAAAAAGTGGGTAATTTTTTTTTTATTTTCACGTATTTAATTTATGTTAAATACAAAACCTACTAGTTTCCCTTTCGTAATAATATTAGTGTAACACTTTTTGAATTTCACTTATAAACATTTATGTATTTAATATAAATTAAATGATTCAAAATAAAATACTCATAAATAGTTAGTACTTTATTCATATAATGGAAGAAACTCGTAAAGAACTGGGATGTTATGGACATTTTTTTTTACTTTCAAATACTTCATTTATATTAAATACAAAACATGCTAGTTTTCCTTTCGTAAAAATATTTGTGTAACGGCTTTTGAATTTTATTTGCAAATATTTATGTATTTAACATAAATTAAATGATATAGAATAAAATACCCATAATCATCTCTACCTTTTTATTAACAAGTAATCTTGTACTAATATAGGGAGGAAGAGGGTATTCATGGAATATAAATGTCATCTCTATCATGATAGTAATATTTTAATCCAAATTGGACTGAATTGTTACCAAATTTGAAAAACAAGGCAGCTAGGTGAAATTTTTAAAACTTGGAGGGGTCTCAGTGCAAGTGTCAGAAACCTCAGGGCGGTTTGTGAAATTATCCCTATTTTCTCCTTAGGGTAGGAACAGTTACAAAGAAAAACATAATATATAAAATCAGGCTACGTTTGGATTAAGAAATTTAATAAAGAATTTGAAGATATAAGAGAAATTTGAACTCATAAATCACTAAGTATTCTAATATTTAAGTAATACTTAGATAATTGATGAATTACAAAATTAAATGCCTCTTAAACAAGTCAAACAATTAAGTGATTTAAATGAATTTTAAATCCTTCGTCAAATTTTTCAATGCAAACAAAATTTGAAATTATTATGAATAGGGGCAATGAAGATGTAGTTACGCATTCATGCGTCCAAAATAGTACCCAACTCCTATTCAGATTGCTACTTATCAAGTGTAGATTAAATCTTTTTCTCCTTGTTATTGTGAATAGAATTGTTCCATTACTTGCCGGACTCGGAAGTATTTCTTAGCTCTTGGCCTTTCGCACTATACAACACAACTTCTATAATAAACAACAAGATAATTACCCAGAAAAAAAAGTAAAGAAAGAACAGATGATTGGACCCCTAAGTAGCTGGCACATGTAAAATCAAGGTCGAAGAACCAGAGTGCCAATGACCAAAAGAGTTCTCTCTTTTCTAATTTTTTGTTCTTTTGTTTTTCGGTAAAACATGACCAATTGGAGAGGTAACATGGCACTTCTTTTGGTTATTTTTTGGATGTTTAATAGAAATATTCATCAGACTAAGGAACAATCAATGATAATAGAGCTTTGTGAAAACCAAAAATATTGATGCATCCAATCGCTATGAAATATTAATCATTCCTTAGTAACCTTATTTGGTAGCAGCAATCGAATCAACAAGACCTAACACCATTTACGCTTAAAGAACAAAAGCCAAAGTTTCGAAACTTATGTCACAAATTTTATTCACATTTGTTGTTAGAGTATGCACTGACACGTGCTCAAGGAGTAGATAAATAATTAGATAAATGGTACAAAAGCAAACAATTCTTTATTCTTTTAATCGGATTATTTTACTAATATTCTTGATTAACGTGTCGAGATGTCAGTTGTCTATGCTTAATAATTAACTTGTTCTCATTAGTCGTGTGATTTTTTTAATCTTCCTTGTTTTGTAGCATCAATGAGTTTCGTCTAGCAAATTGTGTCTCAATTTCAGTCTTGACCTCTTTGAGTGTCTTTTCTCTTGGTTCTGCTTCTCAGTCTTGATCATGCCAAGGCCATAAGTCTTTGGTCTGATTCTCTATGGAGTCCATGAAGTTTTACTTTGTGGGGTTTGTTCTGATTTACATACTCTTTGCTTTGATCAAAGTTCTTCACATAATATGGTGGAAACCAATGCGGATTCAACATAGACTGGAATCACAAGGCATCAAAGGCCCTCCTCGTAGTATCCTTCATGGCAGCCCCAGAGAATTGCTAAAGAAGAAAGAGAACACCACCAACTTATCACATGACATATTTCCAGTAATTCAGCCTCACATATACTCTTGGATGAACATTTATGGTAAGCTACATCATTTTCACTTGTATTATTTGTTCCCCCCCCCCCGGGGGTAATCAGATCTTCAAGGTAAAATTTGATGTTGATTAGTGTTTTTTTTTGTTATTGGGGGGCTTGATGTTGATTTGTGGATAGTTAGATAATCAAAGCGGAACTTGCCACCTCAAATGCCTTTTCCAAATTGAGTGTAGGCCATTGTAGCTGGTTACATATGTTAAGGACAGTCGACTATAGGATTTTCAAGTTTAAAGTTTTGATGTTCCCATCTAGCTAAAACATTTTGCTTATGTTACAACTTCTTTTACCTAGTTAATCAAGATATTTTTTTTGGAGAAGGAAGATTTTTCTCCGGTGGAGGCGTGGTGCTGGAGCAGAATTGGTTATCACAGATCTGGATCTCATAAAAGAAATACTGAATGATAAGGAACAATTTTTTACCATAGCAAAATTGAGTAAATATTTGAAAAAGATTGTAGGAGGTGGTCTTGGGCAATCAGAAGGAGAAAAATGGGTCAAATTGCGAAAACTGGCCAACCAAGCCTTTCATGGTGAGAGTTTAAGGGTAAGATCCACAAATTAGTCATACTTACTTTAGCTAGTTACACTTTTTCATTTAATTTATTAATTTATTTGGAATGGGTTGTTAATACATAAATTACGGCATTCATAATTTCATAGTACTTTGTGTATTGTGAGAAATAACGAACAATTATTTTGCCCTCTTGTCTAAGAAAAAAGTTGTTCTATGAGACTTTTGTGTCATTTTTTATTTTTATTTTTTTTTTTGGCCATGGTACTTTTATTTTTATATAAAAGTTGGTCTTTATTAAGTCATCAGCCTAGTACGTAAACAAGCAGATTTTATATTGCTCATACTTCTGCTGATATGTGCCTCCGGCGTGTAGTTGCGGCGGGAGTAGTCCAACTAGTTTCATAGTCTGATAGTTACCAACAGGTCTCATGATCGACCCTGTGTGCTATTTCGTTGTATATCCTTAGAGCAAGACTCTACACTTTTAGGGGACTAGTCTGGCCAAAAGATTGGGATACCCTTAAGTGAAAAAATATATATATATACTTCTACTGGCATGTGAACTTATGTAGAACAATCAAATCTAGAAGTTTAATGTGGGTTGGTATTGATTGTTTAATGTTTTGGGGTATTCACTTATATTTTTCTTAATTATTTCTTTGTCAATTGCACATTGGACCTTTTCAACTGTAAATGAAGAGTAGTACCCAAAAAAAAAAAAAAAAAACTGTAAATCAAGAGTCTAGTAAAGAAGACAGGTTGATTACACATTGGAGCTTTCTACTTTGCACCCCAAATTTGTAACCAATTCTCACTTTGCAATTTGAACTTCAGTTTTGGATACTTTCCACTCTGTCCTCTCCTATATGTGCGACTTAAGTCAACCAACAACAACTTTATCAAAAACTTATTGACTAGAGGATCATACACATATCTTATACCTTAGTCACTCTAACAGGTGATAGTATATTTACCATCATCTAACAGTCATGCAAAAAATGCAGTGACGCCTGGTTCTCCAATTCTTAATGTTTTTATCGACTGGACTTAAGCGGAAAATATTTGAGATGTTACAGTGTGAAGTGTCTAAAATTAAAATTTAGAATACGAGATGAAATGGAGTATAAATTTAAAGGTGCAAAGTAGAATTAGCCCTTCCTAATTAATTCATTCCCTTTTTGCATATCCTCAGAATGCATACACTTTGATGGGAAATTTATGTATCTCAAATTGATTACCCACAGCAAAAAATCCTAATATATAGAAAAACAAAATTACACGTTTTTGTCAAACATGAAGACAATTCTCATGGCAATTGAAAAAGCATATTTATTCGTGCATTAAAATGCTAATTGCAAAGGACTAAATCAACAAAGTTTTAACACCCCAAGTGTTTTGTTGTTGTGGCATTCATCTACATCTTTATATTAATTATACGATTAAGTAATATTTTGGCTTTTCTAGGATATGACCCCAGCAATGGTTGAAAGTGTTGAGATGATGCTGAGAAGGTGGAGAGATTATGATGGCAAGGAAATTGATGTCAGTGAAGAGTTCATGTTGTTAACTGCAGAGGTCATCTCTAGGACTGCATTTGGAAGTAGTTATGTGGAGGGTGAACAAATATTTAACATGATGAAAAGGCTGGGGATTTTAACTGGCAAGATTGCATACAAACTTAAGCCTCCATTCATCAGGTAAACATCTCCATGATGCCCACTTGTATGTTGCATAGCTTATAGTCAATTTTGACATGTATCTGTGTTCATTTCAAATACTGATCTGTGGAACACCATTTCAACCTGCCATCTTCAATTATGAGAAAGAATTAGACCCTGCTTTATGATTTTTGAATCATGAAAAGGAATTTTACCCTTGACAGCAGTCCAATAAAAGTTGATGGTGATGATTTCATGCTACAGCTTTTTATTGATGCTTGCCAGATTACATCATTTGACTTTGGTTGGTTAACAGAAACGAAAATCTTTTCCTTCAATTGTTGTTAATAGAGGCAGAAGCCCCAGCAAGAATATCTTTATATTTGATGATGTGATTAGTCCTGAGGAAGCCATAATTGCTATGGCATTTTATTTTGAAAAAAAAAAAATCTAAAAAGATCAAAGGAACAAGATGATGGAGTTGCACATGATTTATACAAAGACCGAGTTTTCCATAGAGTTTGTAGCTCGAGATGGCATTTGATTCACAACGAATCTTCTGTCCTATACCCTGTGCCACTCTCTGTCCCACTTTTTATTATATTGCTATTTCTCCTTCATAAATATCATGGTTTAGTTCTTTTTTGTTTCCTTAAGATCCAATAACTATTAATTCAGTAAAAAATAAATACAACAACTTCAAAAAAGAATTCGGTGATAAAGAATTCTTAGGTGATAATCTTAATAAAGAATTTGGTTTAAAGGAGATAATGTCAGAATGTATTAATTAAACCATACTTTAATAATGTCAACTTACATGTCAAAGTTTCCTTAGGTGATTATATGTTTGGTCTTATTGAATTACATACGTGGGATCATAGCCCATGATTGCCAATTGATATATTGCTATTTGTGGTCAACGTGTCTAATCAAGAAATTTCATCTCGATAGGACTAACTACTTGAGAAGTTTAATAGTTGGTTTTTAACTAATGAAGAAGCTTCAAATAATATTGTGGAACCCACTAATGTCAGATTAAAGAACAATTCGGTGAATTGCTATTGCCAATAATATCACATTCGTTAAAGACCAAATACTAGGCTTACCATGTAGTTAGTCTGCATCAAGATAAAATTTCTCCTGTCTAAGTGTGTTGAAGGTGTATATTGGTTTTGTTAGTTGCCTTTAGTAATTACTTTAAGCTAGAACCTTTTTGCAGTACTACCATAGTCATTTGTTTCCTTGAATCCGGACTCAGAGCAGTTGGGGTTTTGTGTGATCCAATCCGGACTTTAAGCATTAGGGGACTACTCTGGCCAATAGATGTTGTTTCACTTTATAAACTCTAGTGTGGGATGAAAAGTCCTTATTATTTCAGCAATCCAATTTAGCAAGCTATTTATGTACCTAACATAGCTACTATCTTTTCTTTTTCTTGATTCTTTTTACTGATCAATTTTTCAGGAAGTTTTTCAAAGACGGAGATGATATAGAATCGGATAAACTTGAGAAAGGAATTCAAGATTCCATTGTAGAAATTGTGAAGAAAAGGGAGAAAGGGAAAAAGGGGGATGATAAGCAAAGCTTTGGAGAAGATTTTCTTGGATTACTTCTAAAAGCTCATTATGATTGTAGTAGTGAAAATGATAACATATCTATTGAAGAAATAATCGATGAGTGCAAGACATTTTATGGTGCTGGACATGGAACAACATCAATTTTGCTCTCATGGACAATTCTTCTTCTAGCAATCAACACTGATTGGCAAGAGAAAGCCAGGGAAGAGGTGACCAAATTATTTGGACAAGACCCCCAAATTCAGAAGGGATTTCAAGACTGAAAACGGTATGTAAAATTTCTTTCTTTTTTTTTCTTAATTTTAGGCTATTTCTACAACATTAGATTAGGATAATGGAGAGGGAGGGCAATCTATTGTTTATACCGTTTTATTTTAATCCATACCTACGGCTATGATCATCAATATTATACTATAACATGTGGATTGAAGATGAAAGAAAACAAGAACTTCTTGGAGTTCGCCTTCAAATGATCAGAAGGAACTTTATTCCTCTCTTATGATTCTGATTTCCATCTGTTTGTGCAGATTAGCATGATCATTAATGAGACTCTAAGACTCTATCCCCCAGCAATCTACGCAAGAAGAACAACAAAGGAAGGAGCAAAATTAGGGAACTACAAGCTTCCTGCTGATCTAAACATATCTATTGCAATCTTAGCAGTTCACCATGACCCTCAGATATGGGGAGATGATGCCCATCTTTTCCAGAACAAGGGGTTTCTGGAGCAACCAAGATCAACAATCCAGCAGCATTTTTGCCTTTCAGCCTTGGACCTCGAACATGTGTTGGCTCGAATTTTGCAATCACTGAAGTAAAGATCGCACTCTCAATGATTTTGCAGAGATATGCTTTCACACTCTCCCCAAGTTATGTACACTCTCCTGTACAGATGCTTGCCCTTATGCCTCAACATGGGGTACAAGTGGTACTCCATGCTCTCTAATGTGTACATTGGGTTTCTTTTGTAGTCTGACTTGAATCAAAGCATTATAGTCCTCCTAGTTAAAATTGCTACGAGTTACGATTTGTTTCTTTTTAACATCTTATTAAACTTATATTAGCCTAAAATTTAGAAAAAAAAATTGTAGAAGAAAGACAATATAATTAGTTTTTTGCAGTGAATTGAACAAACTGGTAGTGTCCGCAAGAGTTTAAATTTCTTGGTTCGTAAATTACGAAAGGTTCAGGTCAGTGGAGATCCTCTCGGGCATAGGCTCTGTAATTGAAGGCAGGCGTTTTGCCTTGGACAAACACGATGTGGATGTAATTTAGATCCCAAGAGAAGTAAATAGAGTCGTACATAATTTAGCACATTTTGTCAAGTTGGCCAACATTTTTTGGAACTACCCTCTATAATCTTTGTAACGCAAATGGTGTTGGACAGGTTCTAGTAATCTCTTTAATAAAATTGTCTACTTTTTTTCTTCAAAAAAAAGGTTTAAATAGATTGAAATTTCTCATGTCTCAAAGTAATCAAATATTGTTACTTCAACCTCTTGAGCATAGTTATTAAATTCAGCTCGTAGCTTAGTCAAAAGAGGTGACCGACTCACCGGTTCAATCGCGAGTTACACAATAGCTTTATTATATATTATAATAATATGTTTTAAATTATAAAAATAATAAAATCTTTAAGTTGACAGTTCAATCGGTAATTCTTTTCTGATTCATTGATTGAATCTTCAGATCGTTGATTGGTCAAACGAATTTAATGCTTAACCGATCTAATTAGTGATCCAACCCGACATTTTGGCCAATTCATCAAATTGATCTATTGGACCATCGAGTCGGGCCGTGTTTTATAACTATGTTCTTGAGACATCCCCCTACATTGCCAAAGACATTTTTTATGTTTGCACACATGAAGACATCTAGGCATATTTCCCCTATTATTTTGAGGGACATGAAGGTTTCTGCTTAATTTCCCATGCCTTTGTATAATGCAATTTTCTATTATGCTGCTTTGAAAAAAAAAAATCATCTCTACTTTTGAGCTGCTAGCGCTAAAATTTTCTCTTGATATACCAAACTTTTATCTCACCTATCTGGTTGTATTTGATTAGTTATTCTCTCATCCATAGTGCTACTTCATTTGTTAGTACCCCAACCATCATCCCTATTCTACATTCTTTTATATGATCGAAAGCTTGCATATATTATAATCTTTTAGTCTGATCATTTTCCCTCCAATTGATGAAAAAATTGATCAAAAATCAACTACCACAAATGACCCCAAAACTTAACAACTTAGAATGACACCTTAGATGTGCTACGCTACCCCTTGACAACTTGATTGCTTAATTTATCAATAAACTGAAGATTTGACAAGATTAGCAATATTTTAATCAATAATTTCATAATTTGCAATCTGTTAAACTTACCAGATGAGATGCTATTGAACATAATTCCTGAATTTGCAATGACAAATCATGCAGTAGCTGCAAGATCCTTCTAACATATCATTTAGACAAACAAATTAACAGAACATTTTTCCCTAATGACTTGTTAATGAATCAAACAGTAATATTTTAGGCCAGTGACTTATTGAAATTATTCAAAACAGACTCCATTTCACATTCATGAGTCTCGAAATTGATCTCAATATTCACTTGATATTAGCATCTCGTGTAGCTAAATATTGACCTATTTCGGTATTTTCGACCGACAGTAATATGTGTTGCATTAAGTATTAACTAAGCAAGTCATTTGGTATTTGATTAGTTAAGGATTCCAAGACTTCCAAGGGATAGCGGCCGCTGTTGGGCTCCTCAAATCTCAATCAGATGGTAATTTACAACCGAGATGTTTGTTAGGACATTACATCAATTAAAGACAATAACCAATAATATCTCCAAAATAGTGGGACCAAATTTGTTGGTTGGAAAACAAGAAATAATTTTCGTCACAATCATTTGTAGCTAAGCAGTGTGAAGTGTCTTTCATTCATGTCTGAACCAGAAGGAAGACTTGCTTTTTAATATCAAATGCCCACCAACATTTTTGGGATGTAATCAAGAATCAATGGATGAGATGGATCAATGGCCTCACATCCCTGCTGCTAAAGACAGGACAACCAAGAGAGGATGTCTAGCTAGTTGGCTAATTGATCACCTACTGCAGTCTTGTTCTATCTTGGATTAAAATATGTTTAATACACTTGAAAGTTTTGGTTTTGTCGGCCAGGTATCAATAGACCTTCCGAGATTAGACCCTCAGATTGGGAATTTTTACCATCTCGGTGATTATAATTTAATAAACTCTTACCATATCATTCAATATTGAAACTCCTAAAATTATCTGAGAACTGATGACTCCTTTTACACATCGAACGATGAATTGATGATACTCATGAGTATGATATTCAGAAGATACTATAAAACTACCCTTGAGATTAAGCCCTTCTAGACGAAGTTATTGATGTGCAAATTAAATTACCCATGACATGCCAACTAAAATACATGCAAGCAACGATGCAATGGCTTCAAAGACAATTAATTAAAAAAAATAAAAACAAATGACTGAAAATGAAATGTATTAATTAAAAAACATCGAAGCTGTTATTCCCCTCTTAGCTACCATCTAATCGTTTTTTAATGGAGTTAGGTGCCAGATGTGGGATGTGTGGTGAAATGGTGTTATTGTTCTCAATCTGAAAAAGTACTGGTCCTTGACACATTTAATTAAAAGCTGATATGGTACTTGTTCTTAATTGTATCAACCACATTGACCAAACAACTGGATTAAGCTAATTGCACTTATTAGGTCTATGATTGGAACTTTAATTAACCTTCCATTAAAAGTAATCATTCCGCAATTATGCGGGCCACATGAACGAAATGCAACAAGCAGTTATAGTTGATCCATCCCTTGATCCTCACATCACCTAATTAATTGTGACTTAAGTTCTAACCTAGTCCTAATAATAATATGTTGAACTGCCTGTTAATGATTTTTAAAAAAAAATTAAAACAAAACAAAAAGGGCTTTCAGCGGATTAACTTAGCCTGGTACTTGTCTATGTCAAAATATTTTTTAAGTGTAATTTTATATTACTTTTTAATACAAAGGTGATATACTTCTTTTAGTTCAAAGGGAGACGTCAATCCGAAAAGGGGAAAAGAGAGGATTTAAAAGATGAACTTGGGACTTCACCGTAGTCTGGCAATATTCCTATCATCTAAGTTGAGTTAATGAGTTTTGGAACACAGGTAGGGTGTGCAAAATCGAAAATTCCGATTTACCGATCGATTCAAATTGAATTCGGAATTTCGAATTCCGGAATTCGTAATTCGGAACGGAAATCGAATGTCTGATTCGAATTCGGGTCGAATTCAGTAATGAGATTTTTCAAATCGGAATTCAGAATTTCTATTTCGATTTCAAATCTGTTTTTTCATATATATATATATAATATAACATTTATATTATAATAATAATTTTTATATTCATGAATTCGGTGAAATCGGAATTCCTATTTCGATAACAATTTCATTTTCACACATATATATAATATTTTTATATATATGTAATATAATATTTATATAATAATAATAATAATTTTTATATTCATGAATTCGGTGAAATCGGAATTTACCGAATTTCGAATTGAATTCGGAACGAATTTGAATTCGGAATTGGTGAATTCTAAATCAAAATCGGTTGAAAATTCTGATACCAAAATTCCGAAAAATTTCGATTTCAAAGTTCTAATTACCGATTTCGATTTCCATCCCTAAACACAGCTGACGTATTTTAAACCTTAGTACTAAAGTTGCAAGAAATCTTTCGAATAATTGACATATTAGTCAAAAGTGAACCAAAATGTGGTTTTTCAAAGTTTTAGAAAAATCATAGTACAACGCTCTTTTGATGAATATTTGTGTGTATGATAAAAAAAAATATAATAAAAAATGTTTGATATATTAAAAAAACTGCACAATTGCCATCCAAGCACACCTCAAAACAAACATGAGAAAATTTAATCACCAGAATGGTACAGTTATTAGGGGAGAGTTTGCCATTTGAAATTTTCTACTTATTTGAAAATTTTTGCTTTGTTATTCCTATTAGCTGGTAACCACCTTATGATCCACAAAAAGGGTTGCAGAATTCAAACCTATGGCCGAATAAACAGTTGGGGGTGAAAGAATGTAGCAAGGGGTGGGAATACAAAAAGAAGATAGAAAAAACTGTCATGAGGACCATATCAC